CCCCCCCCCCCAATCCACTTCTGATAAGCTGTAGTGGTTTGTTTTATTATGAGGCTTAGGTAAGCAATATTCAAAAAGGCGACATTTACACAATTGAAACTATATATTAAACCCATTCAAGTGCATATATTAAGATCCTTCTATTTCACACTTTTCAGGGATCCCAGAATTCGCGGGAGTCTTCCGAAATCGGGACGGCTTCGCGCACTCCCACAAGCAAATAAGGATCTCTGGGAAAATAACCCATCTCCTGCAAATTCATAATATTTGTATGTTTTTTACTACTTCATTATCAATTGTCTCACAGAGGTCAGTGCCAATGGGTGCAGCAAAATAAAATTCAAATATGTTAGGAAGCTCATTTAACCAGATCTCCTGGAAGGAATTTCTTCCAACTTGGGATCCCTGCTCTTTGAGATATTTTAATCACCGAACTTCTGCATTGCAATGTGAAAAATTAAGCACATTTTTTGGATAAAAACAATTTTATTATATTGTTTGTATCCAGGTGTTGTAAAGTATGTTGGCCCCTTAGATAATGACATCCTTCTACCTGAGGTTTATGTCGGCGTTCATCTCGATGAAGCAGTTGGTATGCATGCGGGAGTTGTCAGTGGAAAGCGATACTTTGAAACTCCCAAAGGAAGGGGTATCATGGTTAAATACCATGAAGTAAGAAAAATTAAGCCACCTGATAAACGCCCTCCATTGACGGGTAATGAAATGTTTCCGAGCTATAACCCAAAACACTACAGGAAGTTTGGAGCGAGAAGGTATGATTTAGAACTGATACTATAATGGGTTAATCTGAGTAAAAATAATTTTTGAGTTAACATCATCATCATCATTATCACCACTACTATCATTACCTCAATTTTTTTTTTAATTTAATAAAAGTATTATCATTATATTGTTGTTTTTGTTGTTATTCATTACTTGCTACTTTTATACATTCTATTCTAACAGATAAGCCAATTCATTGTTGGAACTGTGTATGCCTGTATCAAGGTCAATCGATAGGTTTATGTCGATTGACCTTGGATACTGGCATTAACATTTAAAACTATATCAGCTATTACATATCCTTTGGTCACATCAAATCTTGGCTCATACACTAGTCTATTTGTTAGCAAGAGCTGATGCGCTAAAAAATGTTATTGTAATGTCATTATTCCATAGTGATAAAATTTGTGTCTGAACAGTTTTTATAAAATCAAAGTTTTTACTATTTCTCAACAATGATACAAATCTCAATGACAGGTCAGCAAAATCAAGTAGATCTATCCATAAGCGTGCACAGACAGCGCCACCTATTGGTCGGAAATCAAGTGAGAAAAAGACATCACCAACATTCGGAATTCAGACCCAAAAAGGATCTGGTCTTAGGGTAGGTTGAATTTGATTGATTCAAAGGCTTACAATAGTGTGTAAAATAAAATAAATAAATATAAAATATTCTGCATGGATAGTGAATACAGTATAGAAATTTATGTATAACCTGTACTTTATAGGCCTTTTTATGGAGGAAATTTACAATTACAAGAAAGGGAGGGTGAATTGACAAAAATAAATTACTGTATTACAATATTTAATTCATCATATTATCGTTAATTGATTATCTAAATTATATTTATCATTCAGTGCTTGAGCATAGAAAATGTTTTAATCTTTAAGTCATTTCCCAGGAAATTTTATGAAGTATTTAT